TTCTGAGGCAACATCCGAATGGGTCATTTAGATATTTCGGGGCTAGAGGACGGCCACTAACAAACCCTATACTTCATGACAGTTTACCGAAGGCAACCGGAGTGGAGTAAACCCTAGGAGTGAGCATGTGCGGGTGTATTTTTTCAGTTAATTTGACTTTGCACGTTTAGGGTTTTCTACTATTTTAATTTCAAATAGTCTTTCCATACAATCCTATTAACATACATCTAAGCAGTTTATAGTTTACGGAAATTAAAAGGCGGGAAAGTTAAAAAGGTGCTAGCTATTACAGGGATTTTGCAGATACATAATTATTTAGACTGAAAATAAAATGCAAAAATGTAAAATCCTAATTACTATTACAAACCCGGAGCAGATACAATAATAATAAAAAGGAAATTAAAATGCGTGCGGCGAATGAAATGCGCGAATAGTTAGAAACCCTAAAAATCTAATTGAGAAAATATTTAGGTTATGTGGAAAATTGAAACCCTAATTCTAATTGCTTTTAATTGTAAAAGAAAAGAATTAAATTGCCCTAACTTAATTAAACTAATTAATTAAGAAATAAAAATATTTTATATAAAAAAATGATTTTTGATGTTTTTTTGTGATTTTTTTATTAAATAATAAAAAAAATATGATTTTTTATGTTAATTAAAAGAAAATAATTAAGGAAATAATCAAAAAAAGAATTAAAATAAAAAGATGAGAAAAGGGCCTGTACTGAAGAAATCAGGGGGTGGGTTGCTGAATTTGTTAGGCCCATTATGCTCAAGCCCATTCCTTGCGTGGGATCCAATGATGGCTCCTTCTGATGGTGCACCATGGTCCCTCCTTGTTTGGGGCGTTGGATCTGGATAGATTGTGATCTATTGGTTGGCTCAATAAGGCGCATGATGGATGCGTGGGGTTATGAAACACTGGATCTGCAAGTGAGAACTAAGAAAATAATGAAAACTTGTTGGGACCTGGGATCGAACTCAGATCTTCACACTACCCAGCGTGTACGCTTTCCATCTGCGCTACATGTGTTAGTTGTTATTATAATGAAAACAAACAATATTATATGAAAACAAAGTGGATTAGTGGGTAAAACAAAAAACGCGCGTGCTGGTTTGAATGGGCCAATGGTTGGCTGCCACGTTATTGTCTCCTTCACAAGTTCGTCATCTTAGATGCATAACCTATACCCACGGACAATATTCCATGGCTAAAACCTGCAAACTTCAAAAATAAAAAGCACGCAACATAAATGCAATGTAAGACCACGGATCAATTTGTTTTGAGCTCACGAACACGATAATACCCTTTTTCTAGGACAATTTAACCTGTATGATAAAACCCCAAAACGCAAGGACAAACCCTAATAATGGCAGTCATGGATATACGCATCAAAATGCAAAATTACATAAACCAAAACATTCTAAAAGCTCATACAAACACAATGATATGTTCAATAATGGTTAATCATATGTAAATTGTAAAATACGATTCAAGTTGGGGGATGCAAACTGTGGGTATGTAGCGTGCATTTATGGGCATGAAAAGGCTTGCAAATGATTGATACACTTTTTGGAGATGTCTAGGAAGTGATTGGTAGCCTTGACTTGCTTTGAATTGCCCTCTAGAATGAAAATCGACCCACCACTTTTTGTCCAATTTTTGAGTTTGTTCTAGTATTCTTCACGACTGTAATCCTTATGTTTTTTGTTTGTTCTTACTCAGTATATGTAGTAGTATGGATTAGGGCAACAAACACTATTCCAATCTCTTGAAATCATGAATATTAGATTTGTTTTTCTTTTACATCATATCTTCCCAAATTCATCAAAAATCATGTCAGTTTGAATTAATCCACCTTTGCACGATTTTACTTGGTCATCATAGATTGATTGGATTTGATTCCTGCCAAAAAAATCTGGTCAAAATAAATCTTTTGTATTTTTTGCACTTTATTTGATTTAATTCAACTTTTAATTAATAAAAAATCAAAATAAAATGAATAATGAAACAAATAATATGTGGATGCTGATTTGGGTCGTGGACCATGTTACAAACAAGATACAATCATGAAATGCTAGGCCCATTTGACCAAAAAAATGTGTTTTTGAGCATATTTGACTTTTGGCAAATTTTGCAAAAATGGCCAACTTTGCTAAGGCATATCTCCTCCAATTTTAACCCTAGAGAGGTGTTCTTGGACTTTTTAGAAATCTTAAGATGTCCCATAAATAACCCTTTTGGTCTCATCTCAATTGGGTCTTCCATGTTCATATGAGAAGCTTTGACCCAAATAGTGTTTTTGTTGACTTTTCAAAAGGACCTATAATGTAGAAATTCCTATCTTTTGATGAGTGCATATTTTGAACTTAAGGGATGAAGATGGGTTATAGGGAATTGCATCCTATTAAAAATGAGCCTTGGATGGAAAATTTCTGATAAAGTATGAAGAAGTTATGCATAGTCAAAGTTTAGTTGACTTTTCCTAAGAAACCCTAATTTAGCAACTTTTGGGTTTTGATGAATTTGGGGCATTCCTTGGGGAATAATGCTCAACCCTTGATAAAATGATGAATATCACTTAAAAATGTTGATGTTGACCAAGAATCTTGAAGTTTGATTGTATGTGGGCCACAGTTAACTTTTGACCTAGTACAGTTGATTTTTAGGCATCTGAGCAGTTGACTGAGCAAACCTCTTGTGAAAGGCATAAAACTTGACATGGATGATATTGAGAACATATAGGGACCATGGAAAGCATTTGGGACCTTTGGAGCTCCCAGACCCTGATTAAAATGGAAACCCTAATTTGGGGTACACTGCCTTAGGAGAGAGTTTGTCTGGTCAACCCTTGGGCACCCTTAAGCAACCTGAGGACCTCAATGGGCATGTGTTGAGTAAAATGAGAGGGAAAATTTTGGGGTACAACATTATGTATCAAACCAATAAGTCATGTATTTGGTAAAAAGTCAAACATTGAGCCTTCTCAATCAAAACCCTAATTTTGACCATTTTGCCCTCTTGGTGATTTGATCAAATTTCTTGAGGAATTATGATCCAAACTTGACCAATTGACCTATAGGAGTTCAAAGTGTTAATATGGATACAAAATTATGAAGTTTGAATATAAATTGACCATAATTGACTTTTTGCCTAAGATAGTTTATTTTAGGTCAACTGATCAATTGACTGAGCAAGAATGTGATCCGAAGCTTGAAACTTGACATGAGAAATCTTAAAAATCCTACATGATCCATGAAATTCATATGAAGCATTAAAAGTCCAATTGCACTTGTGCAAACTCAAACCCTAATTTTGAGTCATTAGTGCTTGAGGAGGTGTCTTGAGTTGATCCATCCTTGTGCATTCTTGAGCCAATGGACATCTTATGAGAGAAATCTTGAAAAATGAGAGGGAAAATTTTGGGGTACAATAGTAAGCAATTACAATAATCAAAAGAATTTGAAAAATAGTAAACTACAAGCAAATGAAAAGAGAAAGAAAATTGTTTTTTTTTGTTGTGTTTTTGATAGAAAAGAAAGTAAAAATGTAACTAAAACAAAAGTTATTTAGACTAAATTAAAATTCTAAGAAAAATTAAAATTCTAAAATTTACTAAATTAAATCTAATTTAAATTAATTCTAAGGCTATCTAAACTAAATTAAATCTAAAATAAGTTAATAATAAATTTACTAATTTAAAGTTAGACTAAATTAATCTTAAGATTACTAATTTAAATCTAAATTTAAATCAAAATTCTAAGAGACAAAACTAAAATTATTAAATTATTAAATTAAATTTAAACTAAAAAAAGTCTAAAGTTATTAAATTAAACTAGACTAAACTAAAATTCTAAAATTGTCAAATTAAATTAAACTAAACTAAAATTCTAAAATTATTAAATTAAACTAGACTAAACTAAAATTCTTAAATTATTAAATTAAACAAGACTAAACACAAAATTCTAAAATTGTCAAATTAAATTAGACTAAACTAAAATTCTAAAATTATTAAATTATATTAAACTAAACTAAAATTCTAAAATTATTAAATTAAACTAGACTAAAACTAAATTTCTAAAATTATTAAATTAAATTTAAACCTAAAAAAATCTAAATTATTAAATTAATCCAAATTAAATAAATAAATAAACCTAAAGTTAATAAATTAATCTAAATCAAATAAAAAAAGGGTGGTTTTAAAACAGAGAATAGGGTGTAGCAATAGCAATCCGCATGGGCTTAAAACAACAGGCTAGAGGTGGTTCTCTTAATTATACAACAAACAAAAAAACAAAATAATGGGTGGAGCAGCAAGGATTTATGGATTGGGCTTGGGATGCTTGTTAAGTGGTGGCCCAATGGATTATTGCTTCACCAAAGGGTGTTAAAATGGGATTTAAAAAATGGTGGACCTGGGCCGAACCGGGTCGACCCAAGGTCCACCCCTTTCTTCAAATTAACAAACGGGTTTTAAAACCCTAAAATAAAAAACAAAACAACACTCTTCATCTTTTTCTTTTTATTCTCATTCTCTTCTCCCAACACACTCTCTAAACGAACAGAAAAAATGATGATGGCCGGCGGAGGAAACCGCCACCTTCTTCGGCGGGACCTCATCGGACCACCTCAAAATAATCACAACCCAACGTCAACCCCCCTCGTATTTTAGCGTAGAGCCCAAATATAACCCTAGATTTTTCATATTTTCACTCAATTCACCAGATCGAACAATTCCCAAATAAAACCCTATATGTACAGGCTCGAATAAATAAGCAGAATAAAGTATGAAACAGACGCAGTAAATTTTTATGAGCAAGGATATCTAAGAAAATAAAAAAACACAAAAACACAGTGGTGAATCGGATCTTCCAGAGGACTAAACCTTGAAGGCAATCTCAGGTAGGAATGAGATTTATGCTTCTTTCTTCTGCTCTGAATATTTGAGTTGTTTCTTCTCTGAATCTATACTTTTTAATTAGTTGTTGCATGTTGTTATGTTCATTCTTATTTATATGGTCTTATTTTGTTGGCTATTATGTGCGATGTTATTTCGATGTTTGTGTTCTATTATGATTGTGGGCATGTTGAAAATGTTATGGATTGAATTTTCGTTTAAGAGATGGATAAGGTTCGAGATATGGTTGAGGGGTATGAAGGTTACAGTGAGGTTTAGGTTTATTGCAGTGAGGTTTAGGTCTGTAAAATTGGTGGTGAAGGACTGGAGATGGTATAGAGATGTAGAAGGTTTGATTTAGTTTTTTTTACAAAGATTTGATAACAGAAGTTTTGTAAGGTAATTGATGTGTAAGAGCAGCAGTTAGAGAGTGTATTTATAGATGAGAAAGGGTGTAAATTAGGTGGGGTTGATAAATTTGAACTATTTTGGCTACTATTGTATTGATTTTTTGAATCAGGTTTTTGCTTTGCTAATTCTTTGCAATTGTTGGGCTGATACGGTGCAGGTTTGGACAGGTTTATGGACAACAAGGCAGGGTTGTTTTGCAGGGCAGTAACAATGGTTATTGTTGCTATTTTGATGCAGATTTATGCTTTTCCATTTTTTTGCAATCTTTATGCAGGTTTGGACTGTTTAATAGCAGGTTTTGGACATTAATATGCAGTGGACGACATGGTTGATTTTGGACAGCAAGGTGCAGAAGCAGCATGGTTGTTTTTAGACATAGAGAGCTAGGTTTAGGATTAGTTTAGGAAGATAAGGATTTGGGAATTTTTGTATTCTTTAAGTTTGAACCATTATGAAACCAACATCTTTCTTGGAAAACTAAGGCTTGTTAATGTACTTTGAAATTTTAGGCCTTATGGAATTTGAAATATCTTTGGGACATAGAACTTGAGTTGTCTTGTAACAAATGTAGAAACTATATGAATTGCTTGGATCAATTTCCCTTGAACGAATATGCATGGCTAAAAACATATCTTGTAGCTTCTTTTACTTTCAAAATTAAAATATATGGTAGGGAATATTGGCTTTTCTCCAAGTAATGAAACAAAATAATTTTCCCTCCATATCGAATTTGAAACTTGGAACCATGTCTTTGAAAAATGATGAAAGTTTTTGCCTTTGGTGACTTGAACTCGAAATAATTATCATGAATGGACTTGTATGAATTTGAATTAAATTTGATCATCTCGTTACTTAAATCTCAAGAAATCCAAGTGTCTTTCTTTTTTCACCCTTGCAAGTTTGATGAACGGGTTTAAATTCATTCATGAGAATAAATGTCTTGAGTAAGCCATCATAGCATGGATTGAAATTAGAGGTTGAAATCACTCTAAGTCACAAAATGACCCATAATATTTTCAACAAGTTACATGGCCTCCTAAGCACAATATGCAAAAAGAATCATTTCAAGATGTTTAAAATTGAGGAATTTACGGTCCTTGAAAGTCGAGTAACAGTTACTTGAGATTAGGTCAAAGTTCAGAAAGTGACCTCTAAAGTATTCAAATTTTTGATGATCTTTCGCACATAATCGGCTCTTGAATTGTAAAGAGAAGTTAGAGATGACGTCAAGGAGAGTCATACGCAAAAATAACCACTCAAAAATATTAAATAATGAAGAGGTTACAATCGTTTGAACTTGATCTTGAAAATTTTGACTTTTTGGTCAATACAATTGATTTTCGGTCATCCGATCAATTGACGGAGCGAACTTGTGATGCAAGGCATGAATTTGATGTGAGGATTCTTGAATACATATGAAGAACCATGAAAGCCACTTGAGATCTTGGAAAACCAATCTTACTTGAGAAATACCAAACCCTAGTTGTGGACCCAATGTTTAGGAGGAGAATTTGTCTGATCAATTCTTGAGCCACCTTGAGCATTTGAGAAACCCTAGGAGAATATCGTGAATGAAAAAATGGGAGGGAAAATTTTAGGGTACAACATTATGTGTTCTCACACACACCCACGCACTATATTTTAGATCCTCATCCACTCTGGATCTCGTCGATAACAATTTTGCTATTGCCTCAAATGACTTCAAAAATCCGATCTACCAAGCCGAAGACGAAGGTGAGGAAGATTGTGAAATACCTGGAGAACTTGCCAGACTTTTGATATAGGAAGAAAAGACTATCCAACCACATGAAGATCCAGTCGAGGTGGTGAATCTAGGTACTGAGACATATAAGAAAGAGGTCAAGATAGGCGCTGACTTAGACAATAATGTTAAGAATAGGTTAATCCAGATGCTACATGAATATGTTGAAATCTTTTTCTGGTCGTATGAAGACATGCCAGGGCTCGATATCAATATTGTGGTTCACCTTCTGCCAATGAAAAAGGGTTGTGCTCCGATAAAACAGAAGTTTCATTGCAAGCGTATTGTAATGTCAGAAAATATTAAGTCTAGGGTTATGAAACAGGTCAATGCAGGGTTCTTGGCAGTGACATCATATCCTCAATGGGTGGATAATGTTGTTCTGGTAACTAAAGAAAGACAGCAAAGTGTGTATGTGCGTAGACTACAGGGATCTAAACAGGGTGGGCCCTAAAGATGACTTCCCACTACCGCATATCAATGTTTTAGTCGACAATACCGCTCAATATAAGGTATTCTCCTTCAGGGATGGCTTCTCAGGTTACAATCATATCAAAGTGGCGCCTGAAAACATGGAGAAAACTACCTTCGTCACATAGTGGGGCACTTTTTGTTATAAGGTTGTGCCTTTTCGGTTGAAGAACGTCGGGACAACCTATCAGTGTGCCTTAGTAGCCCTATTTCATGACATGATTCACCATGAAATAGAGGTCTATGTTGACTACATGATAGCTAGGTTGCAAACTAAAGAAGAGCATCTTGATCACCTATACAAATTGTTTGAAAGACTAAGGAAGTACAAGCTAAGGCTAAACCCAAACAAGTGCACCTTTGGGGTGAGATCTGGTAAGGTTTTGGGCTTCGTCGTCAGTGGTAAGGGTATTGAGGTTGATCCTGCAAAAGTTAAAGTCATTCAAGAGATGCCAGCTCCTCGTACCGAGAAGGAAGTCAGAGGTTTCTTAGGACGGCTGAATTACATGCCCGTTTAATTTTGCATTTGACTGCTACTTGTGAGGCAATCTTCAAGATATTGAAGAAATATCAAGTATTAAAATAGAACGACGATTATAAAACAGCCTTTGATAAAATTAAGGAGTACCTACAAAAATCTCCCATTCTGATGCCACCAGTCTAAGGAAGACTTCTAATCATGTACTTAACAATGCTAGAGAATTCAATGGGGTGTGTACTGGGGCAGTATGACGAGTCTGGTCGAAAAGAGCATACAATATACTACATTAGCAAAAAGTTTACCGACTGTGAAAACAAGATATTCACTTCTCGAGAAAACTTGTTGCGCTTTGGCATGGGCTACTCGCCGACTAAGACAATATATGTTGACCCATACTACTTTGTTGATCTCTAAAATTGATCCCATCAAGTACATATTCGAGAAGCCGGCTCTCTCCAGAAGAATAGCCTGATAGTAGATGGTCTTAACAGAATATGATATCCAGTACACCACTCAAAAGTCAATCAAAGGAAGTGTATTGGCCGACCATTTAGCGCATCAGGTTGTAGACGACTATCAATCTATGAACTTCGAATTCCCGGACGAGAACATCATGCTAGTAACAGATTTTAAGGAACCTGGACCGTATGAAGGACCTGAACAAGGATCCCGATGGACTATGGTTTTTGATGGAGCTTCCAACGCTCTTGGAAATGGAATTGGTGTTGTGATCATTTCCCCCAAAGGTTTCCATACACCTTTTACTGCCAGACTTTACTTCAACTGTACCAATAACATGGATGAATATGAAGCTTGCATCATGGGTCTTAGGGCTGCTATTAACCTAAGAATCAAATTCTTAAGCATACACAGGGATTCAGCTTTGGTAATCAATCAAGTTAAGGGAGATTGGGATACGAAGCACCTGAATCTCATTCCTTATAAAGAACATTTACTAACCATGATCCCTTATTTCGAGGAGGTTACCTTTGAGCATATACCAAGAGAAGAGAATCAGCTGTCGGATGCTCTGGCTACCATGTCATCAAAGTTCAAGGTCATATGGGACAAGGAGCCTCCTAGAATTACCATTGAAAGATTCAACGAACCTGCGCAATGTTGTGGAATTGACACTGATGGGATAGAGGAGAAACCTTAATTTCACGAGGTTTAAAGGTACCTTGAGGCTCAATAATACCTTGAAGGGGCGTCCATCAATGACAAGAAGTTCCTACGAAGGTTCTTGGCCAAATTCTTCTTGAGCAATGGAATTCTATACAAACACAATCATGATCCAACCCTGCTTCGTTGTGTGGACAAGAAGGAAGCAAAAGAGATTCAAGATATGCATGAAGGTGTCTTTGGTGCTTACTCCAGTGGGCACACTATGGATAAAAAGTTCTTAAGGGCTGGTTACTATTAGTTGACCATGAAAAATAACTGTCACCACCACTCGAGAACTTGTCGTAAGTGCCAGATTTACGTTGATAAAGTCCATATACCTCTAGTGCCTCTGAATGTTATGACTGCGCCTTGACCATTTGCAATGTGGGGCATCGATATGATCAGAGAAATCAAGCCCACAGCCTCTAACGGACATCGCTTCATCCTCGTCACCATTGACTACTTTACGAAATGGGTTGAAGCAACCTCATTTGCCTCGGTTACCAATAATGTGGTTGTCTGGTTCATCAAGCACAACCTAATTTGCCGGTATGGCATCCCCGAGAGGATCATCACATATAACGGTACCAATCTTAACAACATAATGATCATTGAGCTCTGCATGCAATTCAAGATCAAGCATCACAACTCTTCTCCGTATCGACCTAAGATGAATCGCGTAGTGGAAGTTGCCAATAAGAACATAAAGAGGATTATATATAAGATGGTTGTGACATATAAAGATTGGCACAAGATGTTACCGTTTTCACTTCACGGTGTAGCGGTAGAAATGTTCAAGACTAAGCCATTGGATTGACTAGACTTTATACAAATCAAAATAAAAATCGCCACCGCGCTTTATTGTTTCCAAAGGAATGGGAAAAGAGCGAATAACCCAAAAAGAGGGGGAAAGATTCAAGGTAAGGGGGTTGGTTATGCAAAGGGAAGGTATTAGCACCCTAAACATCTACGGTACTCCGCAGGAACCTCTTTGAAAAATCTGTATATTTTGGCTATAAAAATGTGTTGTATAGAAAATGGATGGTGGAGGTGTGAAGAGAAATATATTTTT